ATGGTAATTTAGGGTTTTCTGCCAGAGGCCCAGGATACTGAATCCTGAAATGTCTACACAGGAAGCACCGTTAGACCCATCCAACCCAAACCCCACATGTACAGATGGGGAGCCTGTGGCCAAGAGCTGACAGGGGTCTTGCCCACGGTCACAAGGCCAGTGAGGGAGGGGATCATTCCAGAATCCAGATCTGATTCCATGCAGGACCCTTCCTGCCCTGGCATTTTACACTCTCTCTGGAAGAGCCTGGCCCATAGTAAGTGATGAATAAATTTGCTAACCAAACCACTGAACAGGAAGCCAGCATTTCTCCTTTTCATCGGTTTTCCAAAGGTTCAGAATGCCCCTTGCATTCAGCCCCTGAGGCCCAAGGTGATTGGGAAGCTCTCCTCATCTTCAGCCACATCATCCGCAATCAATCATTCCATGTCAGCACCCAGAGCTGCCCATTGTTTCAACAGCTACATCACATCCACTGTATGGAGACAGCATCCTTCATTTTAGTCTTCCATTGATGGATACAAAGTTGTTCCCAACCTGGGGATATTAAACGAGTGCTGCGCCACTCTACTCAAGTGGGAGGTGCCCACCGGAGGTGGCATTGCTAGGTCAGCAGATACGTGTATTTTAATTTGTTGGATATTCCCAAATTACCCGCTTAGAGGTGGTAGCAATTGAGTATCTCCCCAACCCTGCCCGTTTCTCAGAGTTCACCTCTGGGAACCTGTGTATCCTCTTCTGTAAGATGAGGATGATGACACGCCCTCCCAGCACTATTAGAAGGATGAAAAAATAACATATGTAAAGGTTCTTAACAGTGTCACACACTTATGGTCAGTGATGATAATCACAATCATGTTTATTGTTTATAAATGTTCCTTTTTTAGCCAAACCCTCTCCCCCCGTGGTATCGGGCCCCACGGCGAGGGTCCCACCTGAGCAGACAGTGAGCTTCACGTGCGAGTCCCACGGCTTCTCCCCCAGAAACATCACACTGAAGTGAATCAAAAATGGGAATGAGCTCCGAGCCTCCCAGACCAACGTGGACCCAGAAGGAGACGGCGTTTCCTACAGCGTCTCCAGCACAGCCAAGGTGGTGCTGGCTCCGGGGGATGTTAGCTCCCAGGTCATCTGCGAGGTGGCCCACGTCACCTTGCAGGCGGGCCCTCCTCTTCGTGGGACGGCCAACTTGTCTGAGACCCTCTGAGGTAGACGCCCCTCACCCCAATCCAAGCCCACACCTACCCCCAAGCCCCCAAGCCCGCTCCTCCCCCTGCTGTTTGCTCCAGGCCTGAATTTCCTGGAATCTAGTTCCTGACCGTCCTTCCCAATCAGCAGGCACCTGGATGTGCTGGTCACTCACCTGTTCTAATGGCAGCGGCCAGGTGAACACCTGCCATGTGTTGAGCTCTGTGCTAGGTCGTGTCGTCTACTCTACCAATAGCAGCTCCAATTACTGAGCACCTACTCTAAGCCCAGCCCCCAGGTGCTTGGTGATTTCATTTATTTTGCTACAATTATGCTCCCACTGTATGTCAGGGGCTGTGCTTGTTGATTTCACTCCTTATGACCCTAATAGGAGCTACCAGTCCCTGAGCACCTACTGTGTGCCTGGCAGTATGCTTTGTGGTCTCATTCATATGCAGAGAGTACTCTCAGTGTTTGAGCGCCTGCTGCATGCCTAGCATTGTCCTGGGTGATTCCCATCTGTGGTGGTGGGAGCTAAGGTATGGAGCCCTCCTCTGTGATCTGTCTGTTCCATAAGGTCAGAGCTTCTGCCCTGTGCTGTTTCTGTTCCGCCCACCTTGGAGGTTTCCCAACACCCCATTGCAGGGAACCTGGTGAACATCACCTGCCAGGCAAACAAGTTCTACCCCTGGCACCTAAAGCTGACCTGGTTGGAGAACGGAAATGTGTCCCGAATAGAAACGGCCTCGACTCGCATAGAGAACAAGGATGGGACCTTTAACTGGACGAGCTGGCTCAAGGTGAACTCATCTGCCCACAGGGAGGATGTGGTGCTCACCTGCCAGGTGGAGCATGACGGGCAGCCGGCGGTCACCAAACACCATACCCTGGAGGCCTCTGCCCACCAGAAGGAGCAGGACACAGGTGGAACCCCTGGTGAGGCCTCCACTCCTACTGACCTGGCTCCTTTTAAATTGTATCTTTTTTAGATATTAAATGTAGTAATTAATGTGTATTATAGAATAATCTAGAAGTCTATAAATATAAAACAGAACTTGGAAGTGAGCTCGCCTCCCCCACATCCCACAGCCCAAGAGTCACCACCAGTAAGAGTTTGGTACATATCTTTGTAGATATTTTGACATAAATACATATTAAAGAAAGAAGTAGGGCATGAGGGAGGTCATCCTGTTCATCCTGTTCAAGCATCCTGCTTCTTGCTTTCTTCACCTGACAATAATTATGTTCACCATCCACGTCAGCCCACCTCCCTCCTCCTTGCTGTCTCTAAACTCTGCCTAGTCTCTATTCCATCTTAGAGTTTTCCATCCACATCACTAATGCCACCCCAGCAGACGCCTGCCCCTACTAACTACCCTGTGAAATTCTCAGAAGGGAGCCCTGAGGACGTGGCGTTTGAGTCTGGACCAGCCACCTGCGTGACCCTGAGTGGTCAAAACACCAGCCTGCTTTGTTCCTTGATTTCTGACAATGGACCAGCAATAATCACAACTGCTCACCGCACATTTACTATATGCAAATTCCAGTTCCTCTGTGATCTCCTTTCCTGCTGCAACCACCCTGAGAGATTTGAGTGTTCCAATGAGACTTGAGGGGCAATGGTCAGTATGTTATTGAAGAATTGTTGCTGTTAGACCAGGTGATTGGGCTAAATTAATCAAGGTAAATCTACAGGACAGGGACCAGCAGCCTTTACAGGACATATCTGCTAATTAGAGACCCATTACGCCTCTGCTGGGTATTGTCCCAAGGACCTACAAAGTCCCCCTTTCCGTGAACAATATACGTCTCATTTCTCTCTCATGTAACATCAGAAGGGAACAGAGTCAGGTTTCCAGGAGTCTTGACTCCAGAAGAACTTTCAAAGGCCCATGTTCTTTCCATCTGCCCTATGGTGTTATCCTCATCTGCTGGGTCAACCCTGGGACACCAGTGTCCATGACCCTGTCTGCTGGAAGAGTAAAGACGGGAAAAGGAAGACAATTTCCCTTAAAACAAGAAACAAACAGAAGCTGCATAACTGTGTCCGCTAATAACTTGGTCAAGTATGCACATCCAGATGCAAGTGGCGTCCACTATTGTGTGGTCTATGATTAAGGACATTGGTTTTCTACAAAACCAATACCATTACACACTTAATAAAATTAACAATAATTCCCTAATATCATCTAAAATGGAGTATACAGTCACATTTTCCCAAATTTCTTTTATAGCTGTTTTTTTTTTGCACCAAAATGGTTTTAATTCATCCATAAAGGCTTGGTAGAATATTCCTGTGCAACCATTAGGGTGTCAAGAATTCTTTTTCATGAATATTTAAATTATGAGTTCAATTTCCTTAATAGTTTAGGGCTATTCAAGTTATTCATTTCATGTTGAATGAATTGTGGTAGATTGTGCTTTTTGAGGAATTTGGTCCATTTTCCCTAAGTTGTCAAAGCTGTCTGTAGGATTGCACACAATCTCCCCTTATTATCCTTCTGACATCTGCAGGGTCTGTAGTGATGTCCCATCTTTCATTCCTGATTTTGGAAATGTGTCATTTCTCCTTTTTTTATTGTCAGTCTTGCCAGAAATTTTTCAATGTTGTTGATCTTTCCAAAGAACATGCGTTTTGTTTCAGGGGTTTTTCTCTATTTTTTCTCTTTTTTCAATTTCACTGATTTTTCTCCTCCTTTCTTTACTATTTCCATCCTTCCTTCTGCTGTGGGTTTATTTTGCTCCTCCTTTTCTAGTTTCCTGAGGCAGGAGCTCAGATGATTGGTTTTATGCTTCTCCTTTGTCTAATGCCATCCTGGTCTCCTCCTGTGCTGGGCAGTCAGGAGAGGGGAATCTTGACCCCTGGCCGCTGTGTTATCCCTCCAGTCCTCAGGGCCCAGCCAGTCTGCTTCCTGGTCCTCCTGTCAGCATCCTCATGTGCTTGTACCTTGTGTTGTTTCTAGGGGTCAGACTGTACTGAAAGGGGAGAGCAGGGAGAGATGGGTCCACACCATCCTGTCTGGACCAGCCTGGGTTTGCTTCTCAGTCTCCACTACCCCCAGGGCTCAGACCAGGTCTCTGACTTCCGGTGCTCTCAGTGTGCCTGACCGAGCACCCTCGCTAGTGTACTGAGTCTGGAAATGGTTTTTGGGTTGTCCAGGTTGGCGGGCTGGAGCAAAGTGCAAGATGTCTCTATGACCCTGCTGCAGCAGGATGCCCAGCCTGTCCCGGGCATCTGAGGGCTCCAGCCACGGCAATCCTGGGTGCAATGGGTCTGGCGTGAGGATGAGCATCTTTGGGTTCATTTGTATGTTGTTGGGGTATTTACAATATTTCTAGCTTAATGACCCTCTCTTCTCTCAGTACAGTATAATCCAGGTGTGTTAATGGAGTTTAGGTGGGTTGGTTGGTTTTGACAGCGAAACAAAGGTTCTGAGGCCTCTGAGTTTTTTGGTTCTCTTTTTCTTCAGGATCTTAAATTTCCCTCCCCCCCTTTTCCTTTTTCCCTTCACTACTCAATTGCCAAACAGCACTTCTTCCTTTTTTTCTGCCTTTTTGCCCAGAAGTTACGCCCTTTAAATTGAGCCCATCCCTTTTGTCACATCTGTCCTTTAAAATGTCCCAGCCTCCTTGTATTAGGTTCCTGTTGCCACTGTAAAAAATTACCACACTTTCTGTGGCTTTAAACAACACAAATGTATTACCTTACAGCTCTAGAGGTCAGAGGTCCACAGTGGGTGGCAGGGCTGAGATCCTTCTGGAGGTTCTAGGGGAGAATCAATGTCCTTGTCTTCTCCAGCTCCTAGAGGCCGGCTGCATTCTTTGGGTAAGGGCCCCACCTCACTCTGACCTCTGACTCTGTCATCACATCTCCTACTCAGACTCTCCTGCC